ATTTAAACTTTTTATCACTCTTCTCTACTAATTTCGCAAATAAACGGGACCATTAATTAAATTTTTGCAGATTACAGATTAAACTGCAGACTCTTGAGATTTACATCGACTTATCCAATTTTTGTTTACAATATCACTAAAATATTTTTAACTTATACAATTTAGTCAAGTGACACATCTTTAAGAATAAAGCTGAATATTTAAATTACTTTTAATAAAGCTTTTTGACAGCTATTAAGTAGTTTCTACATTAGTTTGCAAAAATTTACTTCCCTTAATTTTAGAATAAATTTTGCAATGAAGTTAAAAATTTATTGACTTTGTCAATTTTAGTACACCGCATCATTAAAAATTACAGCACTGAATGTAACTTATATATGGCTGTATATTTACTTTCTGTATTGTTCGAAAGATGTCATTTTTACAAATATTTTTATGTTTTTGAACGATTAATTATTTATGTTTCATATCTCGTATTATTATTGTATCAATTTAAAATTTACAGGAAATTGTAAATTATGTATTTATATGTGTATAATATTTTTTGATACTACATTAACATTTTATACCATCCTAAAATAATAAAGAATTTAAATTAATTGTTATTAACAAAAAAATGCAACAAGTTTTTTTACTATTAACTCTTTTAGCTCTTTATTATTAGTATGAAACTCGTTTCCCTATTTAGTTTATTATATTTCGTAAATTTAAAGTTATTTATTTAAAATACAAATTAGAATAATATCAAAATATAATATAAAAACCAATTTAATTTCAATTTTATTCGTATTTCTTAAAAAAAAAAACAAAACTTGACAATTTTAAAAGTAAACAATATTTTATGCACAAAAATATATTTAAAATTCCTATAATTTTCAAATTTAATAACAAATAAATAAATTTAAAATTCTATTATGTTCTTTTGCTATATACGTATGTATTTTTTAGGTGATATTATTTAAATTATGTGCATAAATTCGCTTTTCTAAAATTTAAAAATTTCTTTAAATTTCCGTTGTTATTATTTATAATAAATTTTATATAATAAGATAATATAAAATTAAATTAACATAAAATTATAAAATTTTGTATAAATGATTTAAAACTTGTTTAGAAAAGTTATCATTATAAATTATGTATAACAAAAATAAAAAAGTGTCGAATAAAATCACAAAATTAGTAAAATAAATAATAAAATTTTCAACTTGGCAATGAGAAAGTTTAATTAAAAATTTTATAAAGTTGAAGATGGTGAAGATCAATGCCAATTTTTTTAGTTTGTGTTTTTTTATTAATAATCATCTATATATGTAACAATTACATTTTGTAATAATGTTTTTCACTTTTCATTCATAATGTTCGAAAAATTACTTTTCATTGCAATTTTTTGCATGTATAACAGTAAAAATTTTGATTATGTTTTCTTCAATATAATTTTGCTATTTAAGTTTTAGTCATGGCTAACAACAATTTCATGTAACTCGACATTATTAATTTGAATAATATAGTAAATTTAATTAGTTACAAATAAAGAAAGCTTAACACTGATTTAATTTTATTTATATAAATTTATTAATAAACTTGATTTTGAGAAAGAAAAAAAAAATGTTACTAGAATACCACGCGTATTCTAGTAATATTTTTTTATAAGTCCTAAGCACACTCGTATTTTCTTATTTAAAAAACTAGAAATCGTGAACATTTTGTTGTTTTAATATGTAAATTAATATTAAATTAATTAAATCTATTATTAAAAAAAATCTTCGTTAAATTTCTATTAGATTGCACAATTCTCAAAACTTTGTTATTTATTTAATGAATTTGTTGTTAATATTGTTGTAAATATTTGTAACTTAATAAATCAATTCAAGGTTTTTTTCTCAGTTTCTGTTTATTTTCTAAATTCTTAGTACAAAATAATACATTATAAATAACAAAAATTTATTAATAATTTATTTAGGGAAGTCATATAAATAATGCGTTTTAATTAATTTTGTGATTTTGGAGAATCTTTAGACCAGTTATTTTATATAAATTTTTTCAAAAGAAATTATTATTAATTTGAATGTTCAAGGACCTATAAAAATTTATTGAAATAACTAATCATTTTCCGTCTTATTTTGAATATAAGCGATGAAAATTTAAATATTTTTGAATGAAAAATATTTGTATGTGTGTATTTGTAAAAATATTTTTCTTTATATTTGAAATAAAACGAATTAATTTACATTTTCCATAAATAGGTGAATCAAATAGGAGTTGATTTGTGAAAATAAAATAAATTTATTATAATTTATAGTTAACTATTTCAAGTTGCTTCAATTAATTTTGTTTGTATATTTTGACTAGAGTTTTGCTGTAATTAAATAAACAGATGTATCTATAATAAAAGAAACAGATGGCGCCTATCGTAAAATATTTTGATAAGTTGAAGAAATTTATTTTAATATACTTACATAAATGTTTTTAAAAATAATTGTGTTTTTTTAAAACTTAGATTATTCTTAGTATACAAAGCATATACATATGTTTGTGAGTCTGATTATGCAGATTAAAAAGTTGATAAATAATAAAGCGTCGTGATGAGTAAATATGCTTTCAATTAAATAAAAAATAATAAATAGAAATTTACGACGAATTTAGTAAAGCAATTAACTTGCTAGAAATTTAATTTAATTTCTACTATAGATTTAGTTATTGTTGTTTAGTAATTTCAAAAATTCAACGTTTAGCTTTAAAATTTCCGAAAAATATATATGTAAATTAATTCAGAAACTGACATTCTATAAAATATCACAGAATGAATAATTTTTATTTCAAAATATTTTAAAATTTTATTATTTTCATTATTTTCTTAATTTTTGCTTTCAACACACTACATTACAATTTCTTATTTTGTTTTATGTGTGTATTCTTTAATTAAAGTAGAGCTTATAATTTATTTTCGTATTCCATAATTTAAAATACGAAATATTATTTCGTATTTTCGTATGCCATAAATTAGAATTCATTCTTAAGCTCATACATATTTGACCTCTGTAAAATTTATATATTTTCGTATGTGATGCAGAAAGGATATTAAGATTAAACTTAAAAGTTAAAATTTTTGAATTGAGAAATTAAAGAAAATTTTTTTTTAAAGTAAAAATAGAAAACAGCAAAAATCTCTTCAAATATTTTGAAGGAAAATTTTCTATTTCTCTTAAAAATTATCATCTCCCAAATACATTCAAACAAAAAAAAACTCACTCAAAAAAAAACAAAAATGTAAAATTCTCTTTAAGAAATTTTAAGAGAAATCGAATGCATCAGTAATAATGATCATTTCCACTCAACGAAATGAGAGAATTAAAAAAAATTAAGATGAAATTGCAGATGAAATTCTTTATAAAGTTAGGTTTTTTTGTTTGTTTGTTTTGATTTGAATCGAAACAGAAGAGATTCATAATGCAAGTAATTCACCCATATATATGATCAGTTTAATACTTAAGAAACTTGTTCAACATTTAATAAGAGTTATTAGAAAAGCTTTTATCATATTCTTTTTTGTGAATGAATTTGATTCAAGAGCATAAATATAAAGTTTGCAATCAAAAGAAATTTGAAAATTTGTTATTGCTTTTGTAAATAATACTAAAATTTTAAAGTAACGGAGAAGAGCTAGCCAAAAATTTTAAAATTATTGAGTAGTAAATAAATAAAGAAAGGAGAAGAAGAAGTAGAAGATAATGAAGAAAAAAATATTTAAGAAATAAAAGAAGAAAGAATAGCATAATTTGAACTAAAAACAAACTGCTTAGATCTTTATTTGTAACTCGTGATTTTGAGTTTTTTTTTCTTTGTATTCTCAGTTTTATAGTCGGAAAAAAAAAAACGCATGTTTAAGAATATTATTATAGTGATCTTGTTTTTGCTCTTTTATTTTTATGTTATTTTTTTTTTAGTATCATTTTATATTATGCGCATGTTTCAATGTATTGTTTATTGCGGTTCTCAAATTATATATTATTTTTTCTTTCTTTATTTTTTATTCAGTTTATCTTCAAACAAAACTCAAATACTGAACATAAACTATTTCTGAAATAATAATAATGTGCGTTTATGATTACATATATATGCATGTGAGTGAGTAAAAAAGATAGAGTGTGTTTTTGAGAGGGTTTTATTTTTTTAATATTTTGAGAGAAAATCAGAGAATAATTTTCATAATTTATTATTGTATTTAAAAAAAAATCCCCTCTTCAATGAATATAATAGTAAGAAGAAAATGAAGAAAAAAGAAAACGAAGAAACAGAAAAGTTTACCGGCAATAAAAGTATAAAAGCAAACGCAAGGACATGTGGATGGTCAAATTAATTCAAAAATTTCGAGTCGGTAGAGCTCTTGGAAAAAAAAAAATTTTTTTTTATTGTAAAACAAAGTAAAATAAAAAAAGTCAAGATTTAATTTTTTTAAATAATATTTTGTCGCAAAAAAGTAAAGAAAAGTTGTAAAAGAAAAAAAAATATACAAGATAATCTGTTTTTTTTTTTTGAATTTATAAAATGAAAAAATAATTGGAATGAAAATAAATTGTTTATTAACTAAAATAAAATTATCGGAAAAAATTATATTTATAAAATAAAAAGTGCATATATGAGTAACATCAAGTTAGACTAAAAATCAAAGGAAGTGAAATAAAAATTAAAAATAATCATAGAATTGAATAAGAATTAAAAAAAAGGGAAAAATTAAACATTTTAAAAAATAAAGACATAAGTGCTACAGAAAATTTTTTTTATATTAAAAGTAGTATAAGAAAAAAATTTATGAAAAATTTAATTATTAAACTGAAATTTATGAATCATTATTAAAAATGTTATAAAATTAATGAAAATATAAGAGAATTTTATTTATATTGGAAGAATATTTAATTGTGTGTGCAATTTGAAGGAAAAATTTTTTAAATTCAAAATATTATACAAAAATATTAAAAAATAAAAGAACTGATAATAATTGCTTAGAAAAAAGCATATATAACAATAAAACAAAAAAAAAAATTAAAAAATTTTATAATTAAATTTTAATTGAAAAATACAAAATGTTTGCAGATTCATTCTTTGTTAAATTAATGATAAAAGAAGTAAAAAGTAATGATTTTCATAATACATTACTTGTATTTGTTACAATTTTATCAATAATAAGTTTAATACAATGGCTATTAAATACATATAAAGATATAAAATCATTACCGCCAGGACCATGGGGTTTTCCAATTGTTGGATATTTAACATTTATGGGACATGAAAAACATACACGTTTTATGGAATTAGCTAAAGAATATGGTACATTATTTTCGGCACGTTTAGGTAGTCAATTAACGGTTGTTATGAGTGATTATAAAATGATAAGAGAATGTTTTCGTCGTGATGAATTTACTGGAAGACCGGATACACCATTTATGCAAACATTAAATGGTTTTGGTGAGTTTCTTTTATTTAATTATTTTAAATTTCAAGTAAATTATTGCATTTTTGTATAAATTTATTTTAAAATGTGTTGAAAAAAAAAAATTCCAAATTTCATTAATTATTCAAAATTTCAGTAGAAAATTGCAATTTTAATTATTTTAATTTTTTTTTGTTTTCTTCTAATTTTTTAAATATAGGAATAATAAATAGTGAAGGAAAATTATGGAAGGATCAAAGAAGATTTTTGCATGAAAAATTACGTCAATTTGGTATGACGTATATGGGTTCTGGTAAACATTTAATGGAAAAACGTATTATGGTAAGTTGAAGGAAAAAAAATTATATATATTCTTTTTTAAAAATAATTTGTAAATAATAATTTAATTATTTATTAAATATTTTCATTTATTTATTGTTTAATTATAGACTGAAGTACATGAATATTTACATAATTTACAAATATCATGTAATGAACCAATTGATATGGGACCAGCAATATCAGTTGCTGTTAGTAATGTTATATGTAATATTATGATGTCAATACGTTTTTCAATTGATGATCCAAAATTTCGTCGTTTTAATTATTTAATTGAAGAAGGTATGCGTTTATTTGGTGAAATAACAACAGTTGATTATATACCAACAGTACAATATTTACCGGGTAATTTAAGTGCTAAAAATAAAATAGCTAAAAATCGTGAAGAAATGTTAGAATTTTATCAAGAAGTTATTGATGATCATAAAAAAACATTTGATCCAAATAATATTAGAGATTTAATTGATATGTATTTATCAGAAATTGAAAAAGCAAAATTAGAAGGACGTGATGAAGAATTATTTGATGGAAAAGATCATGGTAATTTTTTTTTTTATAATTTTTAGTTAATTGTGAATAATTAGGATTTTTTACAAAAAATTTTTTTTGTGGAATTTAATGAAATTTCTTTTATGAATAAAAAATTTAAAGTAAATAATTTAATCTCTTAAAAAAATTGTTTTTCATAATAAATAGTTTTTACAATTTAATTAAAGTTCTATTGCTGGAATAAGTTTGAATAATTAAAATTTTGAATTGTGATTTTTATAAGTTTGAACAATTAAACAACTAAATAAAATTAATCGGAATTTTCAAAAAATTAATCGGAATAATTTAAAATAATGCAATAATTTTGAAAAAATAAATAATGCTGTTGATCTTTTAGTCTTAGTTAATTAAAAATATCGACAATATTGATTATGTATAGTTTTAAAATTCAGTATAAATAAAAATTTAACTTATATTTATGGTTCTACTTGCAACTATGTATGTATATAATATAGAACCTACTATTATAAAATCAAATAAATTTTATTCCACTATAAAAAAATAAATATTAAAATAGTAGGATTTGAAATTTCCTTTTCGTTTATTTTTTATAATTTTTTACTTTATACTTTAATAAAATTGTATGTACATTATATTAAATAATTAATTATTTGTTTTCTCTTTATTTCTCTTTTAAAATATTTTACATCAACATCTTTAAATTTCAAATGGAATGAATACTATGTTATTTTGTAAATATTTAAATATTAAAATAGAACAACAAATAATGCAAGTTATTGCTGATTTATTTTCTGCTGGTATGGAAACAATTAAAACAACATTATTATGGATAAATGTATTTATGTTAAGAAATCCAGAAGAAATGCGTCGTGTACAAGAAGAATTAGACCAAGTTGTTGGACGTCATAGATTACCATCAATTGAAGATTTACAATTTTTACCAGTTACTGAAACAACAATATTAGAATCAATGAGAAGATCAAGTATTGTACCATTAGCAACAACACACTCACCTACAAGGTAATTTTTTTTTATTATATATTTTTTTTAAATTAATATTAATGACTGTTAGTAAAATAAATGAGAAAAGTGGTACATAAATATTAAAATTTATATATGAGTACTTAACAATTAGTGGATGATTATAATGCGATAATTTGCAATAACATGCATATTCAAAAAAAAAGAAGTGACAAACTTGATACAAAAATCGTAAAGTGCAAGAAATTTTAATAAAAAAAAAATAATTTAAATGAAACAATAAATAAATAAATTTTCAGCAACTATTCATTTTAAATATAGAGCTATTTTATACTGAATTCCAATTTAATGGAGAGAGTATAATTTCTTTTAAGAAAAAATTAATTGAATGGCTTAATATTAAAGTATGTGAAACGCTTTATGAATATTTTATGTAAGAAGAAATTCTTTAAAATTAAAACATAAATTCACAATATATCTTGCATTCACAAAAAAATGAATAAATAAATTTTATTCAATTTGAATTGTTTTAAAAGGCAAAATATATAAGAAAAACTATAAAAAAAACTATTAAAAGAAAAGTCATAAATTTTTTGTTTTTAAATATTTCGCGATTTTTAATTCTTTCCCTTATCGTTACGCGTACGCTATTGTAATTTAATTATATATATTAAAATATTTACATATCTACATACATATTTAACTTTTAAGTAATATAACACATTATTTTAGTACATCGTGAACTTAAATTATTTAATGAAATTTCGTAATAAAAGGTAAAGAAAACGAAACGAAAAATACGTTAAAAAAATAAAAGAAAAAAAAAATTTTTTTTAATTCAAAGTGAAATTTACTCTTTTATACGTTTTGTAATTACATACAGTTACAAACGTGTATTACAATGAAAGCATCTTAGTTATTATTATTAAATAATTACGCGTTGTACATTACCTACATACCCAAAAAATTAAAAAAAATTTTTTTTTGTCATTTTTATTGCGTATGTACTAAAAAAAAAACACAATTACAAAATATTGTCACAAATTGAATTGGCATTTTTGAAAGAAAAAGAGAGAATTACAAATTGTCAAATAATAATTTTCACAAGTATTGTCAAAATTATACTGACAATTTACTCGTCAACTTGATCGGAAATGTTTCAACTCTTAATAAATTGTAATATGAGAGGAAAGTTGTTGACTTCTTTATAATATTCAGTTGATTTTTTTAGAATTTTTAACATTTAAAATCAAGCATATTTAAAAAAAAAAATTATTTTAATAATGTATTAGACCCAAGATTTACAACAATTTTCTATATACAATAAAATATTGTTTGTGATATTAAAGATATTTTCGCATGCGTTTCATTCAAAATATTTTCATATGATTTCACATAAAAATGTTTTCATAACTTTATTATTTTGTACTTTCAAATGAAAGTGATATAAAATTATGTAAAATTTATAAAATTAAACTCTATTTTAACTATAATATAATAATGTAACAAATTTTATTTTACGACATCTACATACAATATTATAATAGCATAACATAAGCAAAATGAAAAAAGAGCATTAACTATTTTGATGATGTCATTTATGACAGAAATAAACAAAAAACATAAACACTATTATTTTTATAGCAAACTCGAGTAAATGATTTTTCTTTTTCTTCTTTTCATTATGTTTTTTCATTAAATTGACACTGATAGGCGAAATTTATGACGTATTAAAAATGTTATTATGTCACTTAAATAAAGTTCGTTCACCTCAATATGCGCGCGGTATATAGATAGATTATAATAATAAAAAAAAATATTACATAGAAATAAAAAAAATGTCAATTGCATGACAGGCGAACTGACATAATTTTTTTAATCTTATAAATTTTTTTTTATACTGATTGTACATATATAGTTTTCAAACTGTTTGGTTTCTTTTTAGTACAATAATAGTTAATTGTGCACAAAAATAAAAAAAAAGAAAATAAGAAATAAAAAAATTAATGAAATTTTCAAAAATTTTTGAAGGTTTTTTTATTTTGGCAAAAATTTATGTTTTTATTATTTATATTAAGTTTCTTTTTTGTAATTTTCTTAAATTTTAAAATATGCTTTGGATAAAAATGTCCGTAAATTTTTGTGCAAGATTCATTTTGATTGTTGTTTTTTTTTTTTATCTTATTACATAAGTTTAAAAACGCCAGACATAAATTAGTTTCATATTATTATGACTTTTACGATGGTGCGTTTATTTGTAGTGTTCGGTTTTTATTTTTCTTAATTTTTTTGATAGTTTTGATTTTCATTATGATTTTATTTTTTATATTATGTTCAATTCATTTTAATGGTTTGCTTTTTGCTGCTGCCATAGGTTTATAATAATAATAATATAGAGGCGTGTGATGAATATTATTATAAACAATAAATGAATGAGAGAACGCGCATTGAAAGAGTGACGATAACGATAATATACGACCGGTAATATTATTTATTATTATTGTTATTATAGGACGCCTGCAAATTTTAACTTTTTATTAATTTTCTTTTTACGTATTCTTTTTCATAAATTATATACGTCTATATATATATACATTATGTTATATGCTTACTTTTATAATTTTAAATGTATAAATATTAAATATGTATATATACATAATAAATTACATATTAAAGTAAGTTGTATATAATTTATACATAAATAAATGTCGGTAACTATAAATATATATGTATAAAACTAATAAAAGAGTTTAAGTTGCATTAACAAATCGTCTTTATTTATTTACATATAAAATATAATCATATATACAATTATGTATGTAACAATTGTACATAATATGTAAGTATATTTAAATGATATGTATTTTGCGCATGTTTATGCAAATAAAAATTATTTAAATGCCATATTTTAATCATAAAATTTCTTTAATAATTTTTTTAATTTGCCAACCTACATACTTTTGAAAACCAAAAATTTTGTGGTTGAAAATTCATACAACATGTATGACCAAATTTAAATTGTAGCTGTGTGTATGCAATTGTTATTGACAATAATTATTATTGTTATTATTGCAACTATTCGCAAAATTTAAATTATTTAAATTTTATTTTTCCATTTTATTTTTGTTTCGAGTATATAAATTAAATTTATCCATTTATTTTATATTATTGTTACATTAACTTTCTTGTTTAATTTTTTATTTTATTATTTTTTATTATTTTGATGAAACAAAACTGCTGAATATACACTTATAATTTTTTAAGCATAAAAATTGTAGTTAGCGTAACATTTATGAAATTTTTATAATCACGTGATTTTTGTATACAAACAATATTAAATGAAAGTCATAATTTTATTTAATTATTTTGTATTTATTAAATGAAATAATATTTATATTCAATATACATACAAAAACTTTTATACTTGATTGCCGAAAACCTGAATAAAGCATTTAAATTTTGAGTGTAAAATTAAACAGACTGTGTTTAATGATGTTCAATTTTAAAAATAATCACGAACAAATTGGACTGTATAGAATAGTAAATAAAATTTAAGTAAAGAATTGATAGCGTAATATACATAATTGGTTGACATTTCTTATTTTAAATTATACACAATTATATTTTTGCAATGATATATAAGAGTTATTGATTTTAATATACCATAAATTGACAAATAAATTTATTTTAACAAATTCTTCAATATCATAATATATGTATATGTTATACCAAAATAATTGTCAAATTTCGATATTTATTTGTTATACATAATGTGTAATTTCAATATATTTATTTAAAAAATATTCATTATTTAAAACTTCAATGTTTTAAGTATTTAAAGTAACTTTTATTTGACACTTTATGTTTACTTTTGTATATATTCATATAAACAATATAAGAAATAAATTTCAACATGTAAAATTAAACAATACATATATATATTTTTATATTCATATACACAACTCTTAGGTTACATGGTTATTTAGGGAAAATACTTAAAGTGTTATATTGTTAAACAAATTAGCAAAAAATTAATTTTGTAAACATAAATCTGTATGTGGATATTCCGCATATGTATATTTATTTTTCATATATAATATTCACATCTTATTTTAACATACATGTTATTATGCTTTGCATAATGAAAACAATATGAATATAATATTTTATTTTACTTTAATATTTTAATTATTGTGTGCACAAAAAATATGCACATGCATTGCATAATTCATAAACATATATGTAGTTTCAAAAATAATAAAACCTACCTACCTATCTATCTACCTATCTTTTGTTTTATACAGTTAATAATAAATGCAAATAATAATATGTAATTTTTGTGTAAATAATAGTTATTTAATATATGGAATAACAAAATTGTTATTATGCCCTATTATTGAAATTGACATTTTTAGTGTATGTTTAAAATTTTTCAAAAACTACCTTATTTACATTTTCTATTTGGATTTACATACATACATGTATAACATAATATAATATTTTTATTTTTTGTGTATAATTTATTTAAGATGACAAGACGCATTTTATTGTACAACGTAATAATTCTAATATATGAAATCAGTCAATGCGCTTATTTATATTTAAATGCAATTTGAAAATTAAAGATAACAGTGAGTGCTTATAGTATATAGTGTACATACAATTTAAATTTTACTATATTGTCTTTAAGTGACGCATATAAAATGTAAAGTATACTGTTATGTTCGGAACATCAACTTTTCATGTTCCAATTCTTTTATTGTTATATTAATGGAAATTTTTTAATTTAAATTAAATTTATCGTCTTAAATCAAAATTTGTAAATAATAAATAAATTTTATTATTATTGGTAAAAACATTTCTCAAATATTTTCATCAATTAAATTAGCAAGTCATAATTTTATTAAAACAATTATGATTATTTATTTCAAAAGTGGCATTACAATTATAGAAGCAATAGAAATAATAATTAAATAAAAATGATAATAAAATAATTTTAGAATCAAAAAATACATTTTAGGGGGTATGATTATTTTGTGAAAAAAAGATAATATGAACACTCTATGTATAAAAAATCTCTTTCTTCTTCATAATATAAGTCAATCAAGACATAAAAATGTCAAATTAAAATAATCTTTTAATGTTCACAAAAAAAAAAAAAAATAAAGGGGTTGAGATTTTCATCTAATAAATTAAATAAAATACACACTTCTTAATTATTTTTATTATCACTTTACAATTTAATTATTATAAGAAAAAGAAATGAAAACCATTTAAGCGTATACATTACAAAAAGAAGACAAAAAGTGTCTACATGTATTGATTCGTACGCTGTCGTACAGGATGACAAGAAAGACAAAAATTTATTTATTTCCCTCCAATTTTCGTTTAATTTTTTTTTCTAATTTTTAATAAATTAAATATACATATGTATGAAAAGTTTATTACGTATTAATCTGAATGATCTCTTGTCCATTATTAATTATAAAATGGAATAAAAAAAGATCAATTCCACATTATTAATTTTTTATTCTTTCCGTTTTTCATTTTTTTTCTTTACACATATCGTATTATTAAATTATTAGAACGCGTATTAACGCGAAATTTAAAGTCACGTTTCTCTTCTTTTTTTTCCAATTCATTTTGTTGTAGCGTTTTGTATTTTTTTTTTTTGTTTCTTTTATAATCTTAAAGAAAACGTTATGCATTGTGTATGGTGTGTAAAAAAAAAAAACTATAAACTACAATTACAAATATACAATATGGTGTTATCAGCTCCGCGTACTCTTTAATAAAAAAAAAAAATCAAAAAGCAAAGGAAGAAGAAAAATGAAAATTAAACAAAAAGCTGATGATTTTTCAATTATCTGTAATTAATTACAAATATATGGGTCAAATTGATTAAAAAACAATAAAACAAAACAATAAAAATGCTTTTTTCACATTTTTATAATAAATTTTTTCCATAAAGATCTATCTCTTCATTATTACAATATGGTTGAATTTTAATTGACGTATGCATTAAAACAATGTCGTGATTAACATAATTTATAATTTAATATTTATGTACACTACTTACTCACATATATACGCATATATATTTAAATACTTAAATACAATAAAATTATTTATTTACTACAATTTTACATTTAATAATATGTACAAATTATATTAAATATTTACTTTATATTTTATAAATTTTTTTTTACAGAGATGTTGAATTGAATGGTTATAGAATTCCAGCTGGTTCACATGTTATACCATTAATTAATAGTGTTCATATGGATCCAAATTTATGGGATAAACCAGAAGAATTCAATCCAAGACGTTTTTTAAATAATGAAGGTAAAGTACGTAAACCAGAATATTTTATACCATTTGGTGTTGGACGTCGTATGTGTTTAGGTGATGTTTTAGCACGTATGGAATTATTTTTATTTTTTGCATCATTTATGCACACATTTCATATGAGTTTACCAGATGGTCAACCATTACCAAGTTTAAAAGGTAATGTTGGTGTTACAATAACACCAGAATCATTTAAAGTATGTTTATCACCTAGACCATTACAATTATCAAATACAGATTCAACGCCATTAAGAAATTTCGGCTCAAATTGAAAATTCGAAAGAAAAAATTTAATTATTGAAAATAAGAAATTTTTTCAATAAAAAAAAGGATAATTTAATAAAGTATGAAATAAAATGGAAGACGTTATTAAAGCATTATACATATATATATATAAAATATATATAGAAACGAAAAAAAAATTATAAGAAAAGAAACAAACAAATTTTAATTTAAAAAAGACAAAAAAAATAAAATGCAAAAAAAAATTTTTTAAAATAATAAAATAGAATAATAAAATGTCAATAATAGAGCAGTCTATTAGAAGTCAAAGGAAAGTCTAAAATGACAATATTTCAAAAACTAATAATTATTATAAAAGTAAGGAAAAAAATAACATCAGAAAAAAAAATCCAAACAAACAGAAAGGACATCTTAAAGAGAAAGAATTTAAAAATGATGAAAGAGTACGATTATACGAAAGAGAAGATGAAGAAGAGACAGAGTGGCCGAAGTGGTGAGCGAAGATGTTAAAAATATTCAAAGTATAAAAAATTTTTAAATGAATATTTTTCTAATGGATTTAAAAACAAAGAGATAATTTTTGAGCCTATTTATACGTACGTATATGAAATAGTAAGGCAAGCTGTTATACATTTATAACAGTATAAAATATCTCTTCTTTAAATGAAGTAAACTGTATAAATAAAGAAAAAAAGACGTTAAAATTAAATGACAAATTGTCAAAAAATAAAGTTTGTTAGTCCAATCAATGGACACAAATTAAAGTTTACTTCAAGAGCACGGTTTTGTTCCTAGAAACCTAAATTTTTTTCTTTTTAATTATAAAGTAATTATTAATAATATATAATTATGTTCTAAATATTTTTATATTATTATATAATTTAATTATGAATATTATTATTTTAATTATTAAAATTTTGTTTGTTTTGTTTTGCTTTATAATTAATTTTTTTTTTTTACTCAAAATTTTCTCTTTTATTTACAAGAGAAAGTATGTATACTAAAAAGAGAAAAGAATAAAAAACAATAATATTATATATATATATATATATATATATATAAAATATATTGTATTATATATGTATGAATAATATATATACGATATATATATATATATATATATATTGTGTTCAGAAATTATAATTGATAAAATATTACAAAAATAATATTTTGAAAAACAAGAAAATTTTAAAAATATTAATAAGTATTATAAAACATGTGTTTGTAATAATATTAAAAATATTTTACAATAGAACAACAAAATGACAAGTGTTATACGAATATAACAGTTTTCATTGTATTCTTTTAAAAATTATAAATCAAAGAAATCAATCACCGTATTACAGTCATGAATACGAACATTTAAAAAACTATACATTTAATACGTACAATAAAATTTGTACGTAATAATTAAGTAAATTCGTTAATGAATATTAGAACTTTTCATTTAGATACAAAAACAAAGCTATAAATTTTAACTAGCTTGTGAAACCAAAAACAAGAAAAGTAAAAAAAATATCAGAGTAATTAGAAAATAAATTATTAATTTTTACCGAATTTGCTTAAACATCAAATACAATAATCAAAATAAAAAAAAAGACAATAATGAAAACTTTTTGTTAAAGGCGGACCTTTAACATTAACTTTTGTTTTCAATATCTACATTAAATACACTGAAATTTATTCTTCTTTATAATGCCAAGTGTTCAAATAAATGTATGCGTTACAACATCAAATATATGTTAATATATAAGTAAAAGTTATATATTATATATAAAACTATAAAAAAAGCAAAAAAAAAGAATAATATTAAAAAAGAAATAAAAAATAATTCCACCCCGCGCTGTGTTCATCAATATTTGTAAACAAAAAAAAAGCAAATATATAACATATTTATATAAAATAAAATAAAAAAAAATTCGTATATGTATATATTTATATATGTACATATATATATATATATATATATATATATATATATATATACATATATATATTCAAAAAATTTTTCTATTAAATGAAGAATATATGAATATTTCATTAATTTCTTAATTTTTAAGAAGGATTACATTAATATTTATGTTTATTATTAAAAAATTAAAAAAGAAATTTAATTAAATTATAAAAATTGGCTTTTTTGAAATAAAAACAAAACATACACTTTTAAAATGTTAAACTCATTGTGTATTTTTTAAACTTTATTATAAAAATTAAAACATATATGAATTTATTTTACCATATTACAACGCAACAAATGTCAAATAATAAGCCTCCAACAGTAATTATTTTAACTTAACGAAAGTTAACGAAATTTCAAATTCAATAATATTGTTAATGGCAACCTTTGTAATATTAGACAATAAAACACAAATCTGGGGGGTAACTTTCGAATTACTTTCAAATTTATTTAATTTATAAAAAAATTCATTAAATGTGAAATAAATATTTTGGTATTTTATTGTAATATAAATTCATAGGTTAATAATTATTACTTTAAACAAATTAACATTAATACTATTAAGAAAACACTTAAATGGACTTGTAGTCTTTATATGTACGTAGTTTTCACGAATAAACTGAAGTTTTAAAAAGCAAACTAAAGAGCAATAAAATAAATTCACATTGTAAGAATCAAATGCCAATTTTTATAATATAAGAAATTAAAAATTCGAACAAAAATAACATTCATTAATAATCAACAAAATAAGAAAAGTTATTAGAAATATAAGATTTATGTAATAAAAACAAATATATGTATATATATACATATATATATATATTTCTATATATATATAGAAATATATAAATTAATTAATTTAATAAAACTTATAAATAATGTATAAAAAAATATTTTTTTTTTAATTGTTACAAATTTTACGTATTTTATGTAATTAAATGTTATTTACGTTGAAGAAAAAATTAATAATGAATAAAATGAGTTTTATTTATTTAAAAAAATTCAATTCTTTTTTCTTATTTAACATCAGTCTACGTTTTCTTGTTTCCTTATTCTTTCTTTATGTTAAGACCACGTAAAGAAATTTTACCACGTGTTACGTCATATATTTGATATTGACACGTACATATATGTGTATCTATGTTCAAAAGTACTAAGTATCGAGAATGTATTAAATATGACATCTGTAAGAACATTATTTTAATGCTTTAAGATGTTTTTAGAGTGGGTCTCTGAAGGGACTCAGGTTCAAACTCCGGGCAGGTTGCTTTAAAATTATATTCATATAACAATTATATTCATAAATTATATACATAAATTACATATTATATTGCAAGAAATTTTTCATATATCCATAATATTCGATATTGAAAACAAAGAAAAATAAACAATAAATATTTCGACAATAGTTTATGGTTAAGTTTCAGCGAAGTATAATTAGTATAATAAAGAGAAGTAATATATGAAAATTTAAAATTTATATAATTAATTATTGAACTACAAAAAAAATTTGAAAAAATTTGAAAATACTTTATTCACAAATTAATTCCTTTTGCTACATATACATTAAAAATGACAAATGACAATGTGATTATTTATTTTAAAATTACGGAAATTTAAAATTATAATTTTACAATAATCACCTATTAATCTTTTATTTCGCGAAAAATAAATGTATGATTTGGTGGGGTTAAGGTGATTCCACATTCACCTTCGAAATTAATGTTTTCAAATGGTGGCAAACTTAAATTAAAATTTCTTAATATACTTCCAGCATATAAAAGCAAGATCATACGAGCCAGTTCATCTCCCAAACACATTCGTTTACCTACAAAATAAAAACAAATCAAATGATATGTTTTTCATAAGAAAATTTTGAAATTTTGAATTAATTTCTAGAACGTATTTCACTTCACCTGTTTGAAATGGAATAAAATTTTGCGAACTAATATAATGACCTTCTTCATTAATAAATCTATATGGATTAAATGTTTCTGGATCATTCCAAATTTTTTCATTCATATGGACAGCCCATTGCAATGGAATTATCATTGAATTTTGTTTTATTTTAAGATTACCTTGTATAATAGTATCCTATTACGAATAAATTTGTAATCAATTTAAATTTTTTTTTTAAATTCGAATCTTACGTACTCTAATAGTTCCATGTGGTATACCAAGTGGTACAACTGATCGAATACGTTGTGTTTCCGATATACATGCTCTCAAAAATGGTATATTTTCTAATTTTTGAATGTCAAGGCAATCACATTTATCTAAATACATCAGTTTCTATAAATAATTGAAGAAAAATAATATTTAACTGAAATTTTTTAGTAAACGAAATGCATATGATTTATAATTCTAAACTAACTGATCTTAGAATTGTCTGGTAATTTTGATATTTTGCCATATATAATAGAAACCATCGTAATGTTGTTAAAGTTGTATCAACACCAGCGCCAAATAAATCAGCTAATAAATGTCTTAATTGTTCTGATGAACAAAATTTTGTTCTTTCATCATTATTTAATTCTCTTTTATGTTTCTCTTTAAGAAATAAATCTAAAATACATAAATTATTTAAATCTTCAATGTTGTCATTCATTTCGTTTGTTTGATTGTTAGTTTGTTGGTATTGAAATTGTTGTTGTTGCTGTTGTTCATCAAAATTTTGAAATTTTTTCAAACGATTTTCAATGATCTCATCATATATGAGATGAGTTTTCCTTTTACCATCTAAAAGGAATTTTATAATCTTTTGGTTTCCTGGAAGAAATCTGTAAAAAAATAAGGCAAAAAAAAAGGTAATAAGAATTTTTTTTTTGGCATTTTTGAATAAACAGCATTAAAAATATAATGAAGGATATAGGGAATTAAAAATACAAAATATAGTAACAATAAATTATATACAAATGTGGTTGTATGCATAGAAATGTAAGTGTATTGTATTTACTGATAATACGAGGTATTGCCAACATTTTTGAATTGAAAAATATTTTTTTTAATTAAATACCTTAAGTGTCAACTCCGAATTCGGACATTAAAGTTATTTAATCAAAATACAAAAAATAAATTTTGAGAGAGGAGGAAAAATTTTTGAATTAACATGTTTTCTAATTAAAAATTCATATTTTTCTATTCTGATTCAGAAATTGAGCCTTTTTTTAAATTCTAAATAGATTTTACAACATTGGTGTATAATTATTGTCACTTCACGTTCGTAAAATTGATAATATTCTAGTTTGAATTAATTTTAGATAAAATTAAAATTTCTTAGAAACACCAATTTAAGCAACTTGTTATAAAATTAGAAGCATTTCTTTTGAAAAGAATTAAATTTTTTTGATATTTAATTAATTAATTTAAAACTTAATTTAAAATTTAAATGAAAAATTTCATTATTAATTCGCATTCAGTTTCGAATCATGCAATTTAATGCAAAATTTCAAAAACTTATAAATTATTAAAAGAAAATCGTTGTAAATACATCTGGTAACTCTACATAATATGTGTATATTTAATTTATGCAATACATTGTATATATTTGTGTATGTTTAAAAAGAAAAATGTTTTTCTTTTTAATTTTTATTTAATTATTCAAAGAATTTCATTTATTCACCTTAATATGGGTAAGAAATTTACAACACCGGACACTCCAATATACTTAACGCCTTCTTCCTGCAAATATTGTAAATATTTCCAGGTCGAATCATCTTTTGAATATATTCTACCGAAAACTAAATCATTAAGAATATTTCCCACAGTGTGATGAAGTGAATCCATTGGATTGATTTCAAGATTTTTAAAGGAATCATTTCTTAAAGTCTTTTTTTTTTCATTGTTGTTTTGCGGTAGTATTGTTGTTGTTTTATGATGATGGTATGTTATCGGCAAATTTTTGATATTTAAAGAACATTTTTAGAGCGCAGAATTTTATTATTGTCGTTATTGTTGTTGTTTTTGAATATTTCATTGTGTTGTGTTGTTGATAAAATAAAAACGAAAAGAACCAAAAAAAAAATTTTTTAAGAATAAAAAAGAACAGAAAATAAAGTCAAAATTTAAAATAATAATAAGAAAACAAAAAAAGAAGAATAATAACAATAAAATGAAGAAGAAGTACAACAAAAGAAGCGAATCACTTTCAATTTTTAAGGTATTCTCATTCATAAAAATGAATCATCGTTATCTTGATATCTCCGATATATTATACTAAATGCTAATAGCATAAAAATAAAAAATAAAAAAATTAGAGGAAAATACAGATAAAAAAATTTACCTTCAATTATGTCTAAATATTCACATATATACATGCACAGAGCACGTATGCCAAATTTGTATACCCAAAATAATATACAGATGGGTTCAGGAATTTTGGTGAATATTTTACAAAAACAATTTATTGGCCATATAAAACAATTATAATTTTTAATATTATTGACTATTATTACTATTATGTTTTCCGATTTTCTAGCAATACTCATTTCTTAGACCTCTAATTGAAAAAATTTCTTTTTATATTTTCCATACTACAATTTTAAAAGCGAATCGCTTTTTGAAATGTGAAAATTATATTTTTTGAAATTGATAGATTTATTTTGAACTACAAGTATTTTTTTGGTTGTAGAATATTTGAAAAGGCATAATCCAGTCGGAAAACCTCTGTATTTAAAATATTTGCTTTATCAAATTTTATTTAACAAAAAATTATTTGATATTTTTAATACATACCGTATGGCAATACTTTTCTTATTAAAGGAATAATAGAGTATATATGGAAGTATTTGATGAAAGAAGAGAAAAATAATTAAAAATTGTAAATTTTTAAGAAAGAGACAAAAAATATTTCTTTTGAATGAATGAATAGTATTGCCAATAATTCACAATGTTAAAATAAAATAAACTTTTTTATTTTCAGCTTGTTTATAACTTTTTGCAGTTTATTACTTTATTATAATAATTTGCCATTTAATTTAAACGATTTTTTCACATTTTTTAATATTCCTTCTTACTTTGTAATTTCATTTGAAAAACATATAGATTTTTACAGTCCTATATTTTCATAAATTCTCGCATATTATTGCAATGACTTGAAATATTTCTAAACAAATTCTAAAATATCACAAAAATATATGTAGAATTTTTTAAGTATTATAGAGATACAAAAGCAAAAAAGGAAATAAGTATATGAGAAACACCAAGAAGGATTCTTAAGGGCATTATTTTGCACGAACGTTATGGGTGAACAGTATACATATGTGATTCTCATTATTATTCATCACAAATCAAATGAAATTTTATTTGCGTTAGGCTTGATTTTATGGTTATTTTTTAACTTGTATTTATAGTAATGTATGTATATAGTAGAAAAAACTATACCTTTAAAAGTGGTTTGTCTTTTATATTCCAATTTTATATTATATTAGAGGGCATTTGGATAGTAAAAAATATTTGTATTTCTTTCTTTTTATTTTATTTGAAATTTGAAATTTTTTTTTGTTTTTTTTTTTATTTTGCATTCAAACGATTATTTATTTATTTATGAGTTCAGAAATCCGGTGAATTTTGAAATTTTTAACTTGAAAATTTTTCACGGACAAAAATGTGACTTCTTAGAAACCAGAAAACAAAAAAAATATAACAAAAAAAGTGTAAAAGTGCAAAAACCGAAAAAAATACAAGAAAATTAAACAAAGAAAAAAAATTTTTTTTTCCTTTTTAATTTTTTTTAATTTTTTTTTTTACCTAAGCATGATCGTTATAATGTTATTTCGCAGTTATTTATGATGTTTTTTACCTTTAAGAACTTCACTCTGGCACTTTTGATCAGTTAAGAATATTTTAATGTTTGCCCGTTCGATTGTGTTTTTTTTTAGCATATTGCAATGTTTATTAATATTTTGTATAACATATTCGTATTAATATATATATATGATATATTTGTATATTATGTACATGCATATATATACGTATACAAATATTATATTGAAAGTGAGTTCAAAATTCTTTAATCGTCACACTTGACTACATTATTATTTCAGGATAAAATAAAAAGAAAAAAATCATGCATACCAACTATCTGTTTGCACTTGAAATTTTAAAATGCTCGTTTCCGGAATAGCATGTTGTAGTATTAATATATATATGTTATTTATATATACATGTGCTTTTTATATATATATAAGAATGTACATATATTGTGCTTATTGTATTTATAAGTTATATTTTATTGTATTTTTTTAATTTATAATTGATCTTGAACTTTAAAAATTATGCAAAAAACTGATCCGATCAGATGTAAGATCAAAGTGTTATTGGTTTAAATGAGTTTATTGTATAGAATACAAAATTTAAGAAAAAATTTAGGTCGGAAAAATTGAAAAATTTTTTAAAAATTCTTCCTTTTATAAGGTGTAAACTCTTGTTAGTCAAGTTATATTGGTATTTTTCCATATAAAATTAACAACTACATTTAGTATTTAAAATTTAAATAATATTTTATCTTTATATAATTAAGAAAAATATAATCTACATAATAGATTGAATGAACTTCTAAATATTAAATTTTGGTAGGTTTTCTAATATTTTTCAATTATTTTTTTTTCTTGAAATCTTTTTGTACTTCTGATAACAAAGAGTAATTAGTATGGCTAGTAAAAATTTACGAAAGATTGCAGCGTGAGTAATTCTTAGTCTTCTTTTATTATTATTATATTTATTTTTCAATTTTTCAGCATGTATAAATTACCTGAATAAATTCGGTAACTCCATTTTCAATGCGTTTTATTAAAAAATTTCTATTTGATCCAAATTTAATCATTCCTAAATGTTTAAGCCATTCAATTGATAATTTTCTTTGATCCTTCCAAAGTAATCCCTCAGCACAAATTAAACCTTTAAATATTTTTAAATTTAGATTTCATATAATATTAAAACTATTAAAATTTATTATAAAACATAAACTTAAAGTTTCTCACTTAAATCTTTTGATTTTTTTTTTGAATATTTTGCTTTAACTAGTTACGTTGTATGCTAATACTTATATAACAAATTAGAAAATAAAAACTTACCATAGCCTCCCATTATACCATGAGTTAAAGCTAACGGTGCTCGAGCTGTAAATTCTTCTCTTTTTAATATATCACGAATTAAATTGGCATCAGATAAGACGATTGTATTAATTGATCCAAGTTTTATTTCATAAATTGGTCCATAACGTTTTGATAAATTTGTTAATGTTTTATATGGTACTTTCGGATCAAGAAATGGTAAATAACCAATAATTGGTAAACTAAAAATTGGTCCTGGAAGATTTGTCCTTTTGAAATATTTCCATAGAAATATTATTAAAATTGTTAAAATTATTAACTGAAAGATAAATTTTGTTTAAATAAAAATTTGGATATGTACGTTTTGTTTTAAGCACGTTTCAAAATTTGGATATGTGTTACATATAAATGATTTTGAATTATTTAAAAATTTATTATTTGATTTACAACTTATTCACTTCTTGAGTTGCATTTGTATTTTAGCGAATCTAAGGACAATAAACATTTATATTAAAAATATCAAATAATTTATTTTTAAATAATTAACAAATTTACCTATAAAACTATAAGTTATTTATATGTGAATATCTGAATTCAAATGAAGCAAAAAGATTTTTACTAGCTGGTATTTTTAGATTTTCATTAGATTTATGCAATTTAAAAGTAACTTTATTAGCATTTTATAATTTTTTCATTAAATAATTATAGTTAAAATAAAAGATAAAAATACTTATATTCGAGATAAAGAAGTGAATATTGGCATATTGTTAACAAAAAATTTATAATTTAATTCAATTTATAAGCCACTAATTCTCCGGTTTTATTCTATACGTGCAGTAAACTTAGTATGAGCAACTTAACAGTATTTTAAGCTTCATCAAAAAAAATTACGAATATTAGAATATTTAAGAATTATAAATCTCCTCTGATATTTATTCACTGTTAATTGTTCTTCGTCTATTTACATCAAAATTAAAAAGCAAAAGTATTTAAAAACTATTCATAGGAAATTTTATAATTTTAAATATGTGTGAAGAAATTTTGGATTCGATGCAGTTTAGCTTTCAAAATAATTGCTTATTCAAGTTAGCGAACTGGCGAAATAGAAAATGGCAAAATTCTAGCTAATTTTAATATTAAATTTGTCAATAAATTTAAGTTCGTGCTCCATATACATAATAACTACACACATAATATTTTAGAACTTTATGCTCAACTACTTTTTATTGTATCAAATAACTCAGTAAATTGTTTTTTCCTCTAAACAAAATGTAAAGACATATAATGCTAATTTTTATTTAAGTGGTAGATTTTTTAATAGTATTGCCATATAGAGCAAAATTGAGCAATAAATTAAAAGAAGATTTAAGTAATCCAGAAGTTTTAACATAAATAAAATATGTATACTCCATGGTTTCGGAATTCTTATTTCTATAATTAACATTTTAATTAAATAATTAAACTTTTGCTAGTTTCAATACAGATTGGTAAAATAGTTGAATAATAATGTAACACTGTTACAATTAAAAAGTTGATATTTCAAAATGATTTCTCAACTTCCCACTTTGAATTTTTAGTATTTTCAACATTTTTGTTCTTATTTCAACTTGTTGTAATAAATGATTTTGACAAGAAATTTATTTATACTTTTTAGTTGGCAACACCTTCATAATTTTTTTTTGTTCAGTTTCTCCATAATAACATTGAATTTAAATTTATATTCTTAAACCATTATCTTAATTGACTGTCAGTTAAAGCTTATTATTAATTATATTTTATAAAATATATATATTTAAAAAATCATCTGTATAATTATATTATTAACTCACCATTAATATGTCCATTTTTATATGAGAGTAAATTTTGCCTTACGCAAAATATAATGAAAAAAAAAAACAATAAAAATAAGCGGTTAAGGGAACAAAACAATCCATCAAACAAAATGTCAAAATTCATACTAATCGAAAAATGAGAGAAGAGAATAAAAGGTCTCCACTAAAGGAAAAAAACTGAAAACAAACCTATATTTGTATAAAATCATTATATATGTATATACATAGAACTTAAACGAATTTGTAAATTCTTAACACACACATTGACAATTTTTCGAATCTCTGCTCTTAATAAAATTTGAATGAGTTTCGAGTTGTCCCTTTTATATTTAAACACCCAAAAATTTAAGAATTTTCCTTAAATTTATGCAAGTATATTCATAATTATTTAACGTTTATAATGCACGTTTAGATTTTATAATGCATTTGTGTTATAGATATCAACCATTATACAAAACACAAAAAAAATTAAAAGAAGGAGTTTTACAAAAAAACTGTTTTTGTTTTTTTTTGTTAAAGATATACTAAGCCTATTAGTATGTGTATTAGAATGTGTATGTGAAAATCACTTATAAATTCCATAATATATAGCAATACTGTATTGACTTCAAAACTGCAATTATTTCGTATTAATATAAAATTCCGCTTATGTATAACAATTATTGGGTAGGTAGAAATACAAGATTACTGCACTTTTGGAATCAAGATATTTCTTTCATTCCGATGTCCGAGAATTTATTTTATTTTTTTCATTATATTACCTGATTTTTCAATTTTACTCCGTAATATCCTATAATTGCCTGGGAATTATTAATAAACATTTTATTTCAATATAATTTTGTAGACTTTTTAATATCCAGAATTTTTTGAAAATCAGAATGATAATATGCTTTGATTGAAATTCAAAAGTTCGTTCTCATTCATTCTCGTAAATATTTATAAAGAATCAACAAAACAAAAAAAAACTCTGGAATATTTTTTATAACGACTTTAAAGCTACAAACACTCACTATATACGTAATAAAAAACGAAACAATAATAAAATAAAAAAAAAAGTTTTTTTTTTCATGAAATAAAAAGCGAAAAAAACATGATAAAAAATTATTATTCAAACGCCATTTGGCTTTTAAAATTTGCTGTCTTAGCATTTTGAGTCTGTAAAAAGGTAAAACAAAAAAACAAAACAATTTTTTTTTTGAATCTTTAATTTATATTTTTGTAAAATTGTTTTTGTTTTTAATTTAGAATATAGAATGAAAGGAAATTTTGACAATTAATGACCCGTCGACATAATTGGATATTGTCAGCAGGGTGCTTGCACTTGATTTTTATTATGATAAAGTAAAATAATCAGATCAAGAAAAGTTATCATATTTGGTTTGTGAGTACATGTGCTCTCATATATGTACAACCGGTCAAAAATTAATTGCATTTGGATAATTTTAAAAATTCAAGCTCATTTCATCAAAACTGAATTTGAAAATAAATTCAAAATCTAATTCGAAATTTTGTTTATATATTCGAAACGATTTGAAAGAAATGACAAAAACACCATAAACTCGTACAACAATAATAAGAATTTCTGTCAATTTTCCACTAATAGTCGTCTCTTTAGGAGTATTGTTCGAGACTAAGAGTATTCGAATAATTTTTACAAATCTCATGAAGTTTCGGTAAATTTTCAAATAAAAAGACAACAATAAATTATTTCGAAAGGGCAAATAAAAATAAAATTTACTCAAATTTTCTAAAAATACAATTTCAAAAGTCTAACATATAAATGAGAAAACTCCAGTCAGAAATTTCGAGAAACAAAAAAAATTGTCGTGTCGGACAAAACAAAAATATCTCAAAAGAATAATTTTTTTGTTTTAAGTGCAAAAATATAAAAGATAGATTTATATCTTTTTAAATTCCTTTCTTAGTATTTACTTACCAATATGTACGTTCATTGTATGTACATGAACACTGTGTAGTTTATATGTATATATGTACGTACATTTATATTGAGAAACTTTACAGAATATATAAACGGTTAGGTTAGTTATGATGAAAGTGAATGTCAGTCAAAGGACGTTTAGGTACAAAAATAATAATAATACTTTCGTTTTTGAATTTTTAAGAATGTTATGAAAATTTGTGTTTGAAAGTGTTCATTTTTAATGTTATAGAATTGATGTATGATTTAATAACGATTTGATGAGTTTTTCTTTCATTTTATTCATTTTATATTCAATATAAAATATATTGAAAATAATTTTTATTTTATTTTAGATTGATAAATGGACTGCAAAGTTTCAATAAGCGAAAGCAAGAATGATGGTTTGATTAAGAAATAAATTAAAGTGAATTATATTTTTATAGTAGTATTTCATATAATTTTATATAATTATATATAGTAGTATGTTTTGGTGTACAAACGAAACTGATGTTACATTGATGACGAGATCGAATAGTAAAGCATTTGATGTCAAAAACTTATGACAAGGCGAATGGTATATTGCAGAAGAGATATTTAAATAAACACGAATAAATGGCGAAATAATTGTACAAGAATTATGAAAATTATCATATAAAAATATTTTAAAAATGTTCTAAAATTGACCAAAAATTTCAATTCAGTTACTTGTACCACAGAAGTTCAATAGTTTTTCATAAATTCTCATTTAAATTAGCTGAAATCGGCTCAGGTGAAATTATGAGAAAGGCAAGTTTAGACCATAAAATACCCCGATTTCACTAAGATTTGTATTTCTTTTGAGTTTCTCTAACACATAAAATTTTACAAAAATATCTTATATAAAATTCAATTAAAAAAAAGGCAAGGAGTAATTTCACATTTTCCTGAATGAGAGTAATATTACACCAATATAAAAATGCATACAATATATGTACGTATGTGTTTGCATGTAATACTGAAATATTCAGCAACATTGAAACATTGTAGTTTTAATTACATAAAATTAACAGTTTTAACAGTTTTAACAGTTTAATAATTTTAACATTGCTTACGTTGAGGCACTTTACGTGCATTATTAAAGATTTTCATTTTTACAGTAACATTTTTTGAGTTTTGTATGACAATGATAACAAAGAAAGAATTATAATTAAACATTTTTCTCAATTTACTTCAACTTAAATAATCTTTTTAAAAAATATTAAGTATTTGTATAATTTTTAATTTTGCATTATTTTTATTAAAATTTTAACACAAAAAAAATTTCATTCGTGTTTCATATTCTTAGAATATTAAAGTTTTTTATAATTTCTTGTTACAAATGTAAAAATTTTTAACAAAATGTAACAACTGTTATGGCATAGTATCCATAATATTTGCTCATTACAATAAGAATTGTGTACATGGAATATGATTTACATATTCTTTTTGCTGATTGCTAATCAGCCTATTGCTTACAAAAGAAAGTATGCAAAAAAAAGAACATTTTTTAGCATATAGATTTAAACCAAATTAATAATTTATATACAGGAATTTGTATATCTGCCTCTCTTTATTTGAGTATTCAGAAAAACAAGTACTTTATGTGCTTTTAATATTAGAGAACTGTCTTAGGAAAAGTTGTCTACTTTGAAAAATATTTCAATATATGGAAACTAAAATATTAAGCATTTACAGCAATTCTCTTGAATTCCTAAATTATCTATATATTAACAGCACATTAACGTTAAAACAGTTGTAGGTATATGCATATTATTAGTAATCAATTGGATCATCATGTATTTGAAGAATTTAATTCGACCATTTTGCATTGGAAGATCATATTTTTTATCCGTCTAATTTGATCACATTGATGAATCGATCAGCTGAGACGATGTAGAATTGAATCTATACCACAAGAAACAGATTTGCAGAACAGAATGAAATTTTCTGGGTATTTCGTATTTCAAATTGAAAAAAATGGGGAAATTAGAACTCCAAAAAAAAATCCTCCACAAATCTTTTCTTTTATTTATACAATTTTGATACAATTGATTTTCATAGATTTATTCTAAAATTAAAAAATTTCATTTTTAAAAATAACTTAGTGCCAAAAATGGTTTCTGGTTTATTTTACGGTTTTTTCCTTTTGCTTTTCTTTCACAAATGCGAAATTTTATAAATTTTTAAAAAATAAAGCAGAAAAATATAAAAAAAATACAAAAAATCGAAAATTGAACTTAACGTCATATTTATCTAAATAAAAAAAGAACAATAAAAGAAAATCTCTATAAAAAAAAAATAAAACTAAAAATTAATAAAAAATGAATTATAAACCAAAACTATATTGTAAATATCTTGATCATAGTAATCTAAACCTGAATTATTAATACTGACTGAGAGCTATACTAAAAATGGTGCCTCCTTAAAGTCATAAAATATTAGTGTAAATAGTTTTGCAATTATATTTATAGTTAAGAAGAAAAAAAAAAACAATAAAAATCATTTCAGGATGTACTCTTGCACTCACGCACACATAAACAAGCACAGTCCAATATTAATAAAGAATTTTACAATATATTTAATGCGTGTGCTTATGGTATGCATATAATCCAGTGGTATAGCAACAGTATTACTTAAAAAATATCATATGAAATAAAAAAAACAATATCACAAATTATAAAGAACAAAATATAATATCTTATGTGATCATAAATAAATATGTATGTATGTATATGCATATTATATAAATATAATATAAATGTATCATGTGCATTTTATTGTATTCCTTTTTTTAAGAAAAATTATACTCATATTTGAATGCATATACTTACATATTATATATTATTATTATTATAAACTGTATTGATATTATAGTAAACCGAAGCGGGAGCAAAACCTTTTAAGTCAATGACTTTTTAGAAAAATTAAAAGCATTGACCTTTATATGACTAGACTTGAATACTTCTCTTTAAACAATATTATATTATGTATAGTATTCTCTGTAATAAGATTTCTTTTCTTCTCATTTTTCTTTCTTATTATTTTATTTTCATTTTCATTTTTATTATTGCGTTCTGCTGTTATTGTTATTTCTCATAGTTGTCCAGTTTCTCAGAGTCAATTCAATATTATGTGTCTAAACGCACGTTGCTATAACAAAAAAAAAAAATTCTCACAGAAACATTGAACTTTTATATAAACATAAAGTCCAATAATAATACAAAATGCTGATGGTAACCCCATCAATGTAATAATAATCATATAATAATAATAATAATAATAATAATATAAATAAAAAGTAAAAACAGAAACAAAAAAAAAAACGGCTAAAGATAAAAATTAACAAAAACAAAAATAAGAAAAGAATAAAAATAAATTCCACGCGGTTTATCACTTTTATAATATTTACTCGCATTTTACATACATATATATCTACACCCATATATTATAGTCTATATCCATTGCATTGTACTCCTAAGATATTATATACAAAGATTTTCATATTGAGTATAGTGCTTATAGCAGCACTGTTATTGCCCTGTTTCTGGTGCTTGTTGCTATTCACTGTCATTTAGCCAGTATTGGATATTCTGTTATTTTGTTCCTTTTTTTTATTATTTTTTTTTGTACTCTCATATTCAATAAAATTCTGATGTTGTTGCTAGGGACTCGAGTTTTTATTGTACATTTCCTTTTTTTTCTGTTTGTTGTTTTGTTCTTCTACTCGTCCATATAATAAAGAAATACAAAAAATAAGAAAAAGAAAAATTCAAAATTAAATAAGAAACCGAAAAAAGTAAAATGAAACAGAAAAACATCAAGCCAACAGCAGCAGCACATTTAAAAAGGCTCCTTCTTATGGACACTTCTCAACAACAGAAACCAAAAAAACAAGAAAAACAAAAAAAAAAAGGAAAAATATTTTAAAAATGAGTGTATGGTCGTAGTTTAGTCATAGTTACAATAAATATTTTCTGTACTATTGTACAAGAAGCAACAAAAGAGGAGTCAGCAGATTAAAATTTTATTACCTTAGATTTACAAAAAAAAAGAAAAACAATAAGAAAATAATAATCACGAGGAAAGAGAAATGTCTTAGAAAAGGAAAAAAATATTATTGTTGCCATAAAATTTTTTGTTATATTTCTTTTTTGTTCCTGAAATTTTTTATACATAGTGTAGTGTTGTTTATTTGTCATTGCTCTGTTTTATATTTTTCTGTGTTGTTTATGGTAATTTTTCTTATTATAATTTTTATGTACATAATTCAATTTAGTGAAATTCAAAGTCTTGAAATTTTTTTAAATAATTACTTTTGCATTTACATAATAAGAGCTCGTGCATAACTTCAATTTTTTTCGAAATTATTATTTAGAACTCTTATTTTGTACTCCTTAGCCTTAAGTATTTTACTTCTTTGATAACACAGTTGAATCTGAATAAAACGAAAACCTATATTAGTAAAATCATTTTTACGATCCTTTGAAATTTCTAATCAAATATTAATTTTCTAATCGAATATTAGAAATTCTTCTAAACATAATTTTCTATAAGTACTAATTTAAATACACAACAAGATTTGGTGAATTTTATAAAAAAAAATCTGGTTTTCTTCTTTGGCAAATGATGGGTTATATGTCCAAGAAGAAAAAAATCTATGTAAAATTACATAAGTTTAGTAAAAAATTACAATATTTTTGTTACGAGTATACATGCTTTTATTCTCATAACTGATATTTTCAGTAAATTTTTGACTGTCAAATCTTACGTATGCAGTTATGAAAAACTTCTGATTGTGTAGATAAGGTAAAATTTTCTATAAAATTAAATCAAAATTTTGGTTCCTTAGAGTTCCTTGATCTCTTCAGGTTCAATTGTATATAAAAATTTTAAAATTCTAAATTTAATTGTTTAATTGTATGAAGATAACGTTTTAATTAAATGAAAAAGAATAAATAAACTAAAAACAATATTTTAAAAAATCAATTTACTTTTAAAATTTCTATATGTTTATGAAATATAGTAGAACATATAAATGTTTCACTTACAATTATAGGATAATATCATCATCAATTACGTATGTGT